AACTTTTATTATTTTGATTGTGTTTAAGTATTTTTTATTAAAAATAAAAATAGACTAATTATTTAACTTATAATTTAAAAATTATTATAAAAATTAAAATAATAAAATTAAAAATTTTCAAATTCAATATGAATGATTAAAAAAAAAAAGAACACAATATACCCATACTTCAACACCCGTCAGGTCTAGACGCAATGCTAAAGCACTTGCCTCAGCTTCTTATTTTTCTAAAAAAAGTGATTAAGTTGTATTTATATTAAGATTAGTAATTATTTATGATCTGACATTGAAAATCTAACATGAATCAAATTTGTATTTATTTATACATTACATTACAAACCGACACTTTTTTTTCTCCAGAATGCTTACCTATTTTATTTGACGTATGTTTTATTGTTTAATAAAAAATATTTAATTTCCTTTCTTTTCTGGAACAATGATTAGTTTGAAAAATTTGACAATCAATGTGCTGCATGTTGGCGGAAAGCAACTTGAACTACGCTAAAGCATAGGGTCAACGGCCTCGGAGAGGTTAAGCAAAAGTGGATCATTAGCTGGAGCAATGTGATACCGAAGGAAATTAGTTTTTTTTTTTTTTTTTTTTTTTGCCCCACCTTTTCAGAAGTTGCATTCTAACTGCCAACAATTATGAAATTAATTTTTAAAAAAAATTTAAACATCAGAGTTTTTTTTTTTTTTCAAGCAATACTCTATATATACATCTTCAGAAAATCAGTCATTTAAACAATCAAATAATATTCATAAGATAAAATTATACATGCCAATAAAATTTAATAATAACACATTACAAAATTATCTCTCTAATATTTTTTATTAGTCATCTTTTAAAATATTTTTTTAATCCTTTTTATAAATTACTTTTTCTTTCCTTTTATAATTTTTAATATATTATCTCAAAACTACCCTTCAATAAATTTTAAAAAGAAGTGCAATATTTTAAATTTCAACAAAATTATTCCTACACATAAAATTAGCCTTTTTTAAAGTAGGGACAAAATTAAAAAATAATTTATATTTAAAATAATTTTATTATTTTAACTAGCCCACCTTAGTTTTGATGAGTTAGTTAAAAGTGACTTATAAAAAAAAATTAGAAGAGCATTCTCTCTATCTTTATATATGAAATGTTTTTAATTGAAATTTGCATATCAATAAAAATGTTATTTAGTTAAAAACTTTAAATCACATAAAATTATAATAATTTTTTAATTTTACTCTTAATGATATCACAATTAATATCACTGGAGTGGTAAGTACGACACATAATTAATATCTTTTTCACTTTTTAAAACAAAGACAAAATTATTTAATTATTTAAATATATTATGACATATTTTATATTTAGAGATAAAAAAAGTTCTTAGAAAACATTTTATATCCAAAGATAGAGGAAATACTTTTTAAAAAAAATATAAACTTTTAAAATTACATTTCATTTAATATAACTTTTAATCCACAATTATTTCAATTCTCTTTCCATTTGAAGGATGATTTAAAAAAATTATTATTAATAAAATCTTATTTTTATTAAATTATCGTATATTTTGAATTAACAAAATTCTTCTAACATTATTTTATAATCTGAAGCAGAGAGAATAATCAGACGTTGGGCAAAAAGCCATATTGGTTTGGTATCCTCCCATTTTACGCACAACCTATAATGCAAAGCTTACCAACTTTAAGTCTTAAAACTTAAGAAGTCAAGCATAGTATTTATTTATATTAAAATGATAACTTTTCACTCTAAATTATTTAGAATATTTTAAAATTTTATATTTTCAAGTTTCATAGATTTTTGAAATTCAAAGATATAATTTTTTTGTTATATGAGATTATTTAAATATTAAACTTCATGTTGAAGACCGTGTGAACGTAATAAATATCTTTAATAGAGCTATTTTTAATTAGACTGAATGTTGTTCAAATCTGACTTTGATATATTAAAAAAAATTGCCAGTAAACATTTTGTAATCAAATGTTTTGAATAAAAATATAAAAGGAACTAAAAATTAAATTACCTATCTAGTCTTGTATTATGAAAAAAGTATTTACTTACAATATTTTTTGTTTAAAAGCTTTATAAAAAGTTTGAAATTATACTTAAATACTCAAAATGCATATAGATTTTTCTTATGAACCTATAACCTAGTGGATCCGACTCCACTCTCACTAGTAAATCAAAAGGGACATATATATATATATATATATATACATATATATATATATATATATATTGAGTCGGCAAATGTCGAAATATTTGTAGGCGCAACTCAAGTTTACAATATGAACACTACAAGAATGTCCCTGTGCCAGTTAAACCAAAGGTTCTCGGCAAAAGGAAAAATACATTGACACATGGCAATGGAATTTTATTTATTTATTTATTTATTTGTTAAGGCAAAAAGCACAAGCACAAGGGCAAGCCCCTATATATATATATGAAATGGGAGAAGCACTAATAATGGCGAGTGCATTTTAAAGCCACTAACATGATAGTGCTTTGTAAAAGAATATATTCACAAAGTGGACTCTCGCATCTGCATTTCTCAATGACCACCTCTTCTTTTTCCTTTCAACTTTTCTCAACATTCTTAGCTTTTGAATTAATAATAAGCATTTATATTAATTTTAAGAAAAATATAAATTTTAAATCCCTATACTTTATTCACATTTTGTTATTGATTCCTGTATTTTTTTTGGTTGTTTTTAATTTTTGTACTTTTATTTTTTATTATTTTATATCCTTTTAAAATTTCTATACTTTGTTCATGAATGGATTTAAAACAATAAAAACCAAAAATATTAAAAAAATACAGAAATTAATAATAAAATGCACACAAAATACAGAAACTTAAAGTTATATTTTTTTTTAAAATTTTAATAGTTATATGAGCCAATCGTGCACGTAGAGCGGGGAATTCGGATGGGCCGGGCCTATTCGGGCTCGGCCCGAATAGGCCTGAACCCGAACAGACCCGACTCCTTCAAAAGCCCAAATAGTCAAGCCCGACCCGAATTTCTTAGGACTTCGGGCGGCTCGAATACCCGAATTTAATTTTTAAAATTATTTTTAATTATTTTTTTACTTTGAAATTAATTATTTTATTTTATTAAAAATATAAAATATATTTTTTAATACTTAAACGATGTCTAGGACTCAAATATATGGTATTTTAGTATAAAATGATCTAAAACTTAAACAATTAATTAATATTTATTATATTTTATATATTTTTTAAAAATATAATTTTTTTATTCGGGTATTTGGGTGTCGGGCTAGATTGAATTGGCCCGAAAAATTTTAGGGCCGGGCTTAGAAAAAAAAAATTTTTTATTCGGGTATTCGGGCTGGCCCGAATAGGCCCGAACATAAAAAAATATTTTTTTTTTAAACCTGACCCTAAAATTTTTCAGGCCAATTCGATTTAGCCCGTCGGGCTTGGCCCGAATTACCGACTCTACGTGCACATAGTGTCATTAGATATTCAGGGAAAAAAATTTATAGGCAAGTATTGGTATAGTTATTACTTTCTTCCTTACCATGTATCGTGTGCTAAATAAAATTACAATAAAAATTCTCAATTATATTCGTGAGGCCAAAAAAAAAAAAATTGACCTTGCGGGGCAAAGTTTTTGACTTTACTTTAGGGGGAAAATGTATCTCGTCTTTTACTTCTCTCAATAACAAAAACATGTTGTGTCTTTGAATCAATGTATATTAGTGTAGTACACTACCTTTTTTTTTCTTTATTTTGTTTTTTTGAGCAACTAGTAGCATACCTAATATTTAAACAATTAAATGCAGTGGTTAATAATTCTTTTATTAATAATAATTTTATTCAATTGTCAGCCCTCAACGAATTCAATTTTTCTTAATAAATATAATAAAAAATAAATGTACTGAAATATGTCTATAGTCTTTTCTGCCTTCACACAAGTACCTTTTTTAGTGTCTATAGACACTAAATCACCAAGTAGGTTTAGCACAGATTGAGCTTCTTTTTTCTTTTTTTTTATTACCCTCCTCACGCATGTTTAAGACTGAATCCATTTAATTTTTTATCTTAAAAAGAATTTTTAATTCTTAACTTTTTAAGAACTTATTTATTAATGGTTGTGAATGACCGAATTTTCAATCTTTATGACTTGTTCCTATAAAACTGAGGTCTGAAAAAATTGATAAGTAAAACCACTTGATTTGATTCATTTTCAATAGCCACAAGATGATCATCTTAGGGTGATCTTTTTGTCAATTGATACTCTTATTATACTTTTAGTCTCTAAAGGTAGGTCTAAGCCGGCCCTAGGTATCATTCTAGACTTCAATTTTTAAAAATATGCATGAAAAAACATTGTTTGTAAGAAGACAACTTTTTGAATGGAATTTAAATTTCTCAAAATATTAATCTTATGGTCGCAAGACATGAGAATGGGTAACCAAAAAAAAAAATTAGACACTAAATCAATATTGAGTTATTCATACTGCACCATTTTTGTAAAATATTATAACATTTAAAAAAAACTATAACTAAAGAATTCAAGTTAAAGATAAAATATTTATTCCAAATTTTAAAAAGACTCACGAACCAAAAATTAAAAGTTAGCAAATTTTTTTGGCAATTCATATTTTTAATTCTCAGATCCTTAAAAAAAAATTTAAAATCTTAACATTTCTTTATATATTTTTTTTGGGCCGAATAAAATTTAATATAAATATCTTTACGTTAAGGCCATTGGTTACAACTTTTTGTCATTTATGAAATACTATGAATATCAAATGTTGTATCAATCCACGAAGCCACGCGTCTTGACTTGATCATAGAAAGGGTCGTTCCATGATCAAAATGAATGAAAACCCTTGTAAGTGGCCAGTTAGGCAGAATAAAATATAATAAGAAAGTGGCCAAAAGTCTAATCAAAACCCACCATGTTCTATTAAAAACAATACAAAACAAAACAAAGCAGAAAGTAGTACACAGTGAAAACAAAACAATGATCACATAAAAAAGCAGATTCATCAGAATCAATCTCTTCTCTGGTTTATCATAATTATTATAATAGTGAATACAGATAACAGCAAAATCAAGTGTTCATTAAAAATATGGGAGTGGTGGGAGAGAGGGAAAGTGGAGGACCTGCTGCTACAAGCAATTGTAAAAGCATAATCATATTTTGAAGGAAAGTAGGGGGATGGAAAGTGCTTCACAATGTGCCAAGTCATTGTGTATAGTTTAGAGGAAGATTGACAAGTGACTAATAAAGTGAATCCTCCACTCACAACCACTTTGTTTCTTGGAAGGAGATATACCCTTACCCTCACAACTTTTCACACAACAAAAACCCCTACAGCTTGCCTTTGCCCAAAAGGATCACAAATCCATAATGCTGTTGTTGTTGATGATGATGTGAGTGTAAGTACAGATAAACAGCGTTAGTTAGCACAAACTTACACAAATACTACCTCACCATAAAATTTAAAAAAAAAAAAAATTAGTCTTGAGTGGGAATATGAGAAAGGGTAGAAAATTTTGTAAACCAAAATAGTCATGCAACTCAATGCCTTGTAACTTAGTGACATCTAAGCTCTCTTGTAAGTGAGAGGTCACAAGTTCATTCCTACATGTAATTTCAGGCCATCAGTGCTTGTACCTCCAATCAAAAAAAAAAAAACCTGGAAGATAAAGATCCAGCTGTTGATCTTGACAAATTTCACCTATTTTATCCATTTATACTCATCATCAACACTTCAACAGTTGCCAACAATGGTTAGAGTTTGTGGAAAGAATTTGATATTCTTTAAACCAGGTTTAGATCTCAACAATGTTTGAATCTAAATTAGTCAATAGTAGTAAATACATGTTATATGCTTGAAAAACAGGGTGCTTCAGCAGTTGAATCACTGACACAAGGAGGGACCATATTTATCATATATATAAATACAAAGCATATTCATGATTCTAAAGTAAGATTTCTAGCCAAAGCATGACTTTGATGGATGGAAAAGGTTTGAGACAATATGGGCTTGTGGGGCCAAGCCAATGAGATAGTGGTAGAGAAAGAGAAGGGCCAAATGTAAGGAGCTTATGGCTGCGGGTAAAGAAAATTCTAATCATGTTTCCTGAGTCAACCATGGAGATTCTGGTTGACTCCCCCCCACCCCCTTTGCACCACCGTGAAATAATCAATCAAAGCACAGGATGGGAATGAGTAACCAGATAGGCATTGCCTAATGCTTTTGAAGCTCAGTCATTGTCCCTATCCAAACAGTGCTGGAACTTGTATATATAACACATTTAATAGATAGTGATCTGTCAAGAAAAGTCTGATCCTAAAATATGGATAAGGGAAGTGGCCATTAAGGAAAGAGATTTCTCAGGACTCTGTATTTCATGAGCAGCATCTTAAAACAGATTAATCTTGCCAATTCACAATAGCCAGCGAGTATTTTGGAAGATTTGTTTTCTTTCAATCCTTAAGGGGGCATAGCATCTCAGGTAGCCAGATGTCTTAACCAGATCAGTAGCCAGAAAGGATATGGAATAAGCTAGCTTCTCATGCCTATCCTTATGAATGTTGAAGCCTGGTTTAACTATCTTATAAAATCTCACGCCAGGAATAAATTCGATTACATAAACAGGTCAGTTATGGAGATGAATTCTAGATAATCCAATTAATCAGCCAACAGAATATGCACGATCTTTGAAATTGTAATGAAAATAATAAGAATAGGCCAACACTGGGTCGGCATAAATGGTTGAGAATTCAAAGGAGAATTCTTACCTTATCCATAGGAATGAATTCCAATCCCACTAAAGCCATTCAAAGTCATGTTTGGTGGGTATCCCTCTCTAAGGAGACCTTCAGGCTTAAAACCTTAAATGTATGCCGATATTCTCAGCATATCAAGGGCACCTTACCCGATAACACTTGGGATGTCTCTCTTTCCTATCCTTTTTTGTCTTTTTTAAAAAGATTTTACAATAGATTGATCTGAATCTGATATAGTGGAATTTTTTTTTTAACAAGTTAAAACACTTCAAAAATTCAGAAAAAAAAAAATAGCAGAAGGAAGTTCTGCCATAACCAAAAGAGAGATAAGATTTTAGAGTACAGGAAACAATAGTAGAAGGGGAGATATGGACACAATAAAATCTAAAAGTACTCTTTGTTGGGATAAGTACTCACATTTAGTGCTCAACTATATCTCCAATGAAATTATCTCCAACAGGAGGAGGATGCCTATAAGCAATTAACAAAATCTACAAGTGCAACAAAATGAAAGGATGAAAAAGGAAAAAAAATGATTTTTCAGTTTTACAAAAATTTAAAAAATAAGAAAAAATATTAAAGCTAAAAGAAAACGAGTGCATCAATAAATAACAAGTTTTTTAAAAAAAATAAAATGCTTATAAATTGTTTAAGAGGAGTTGCCATATGACTCAGCCAATGGAAATGACTTCATATCTATTATCTGATACATAGCTAATGAACAAGGATCAGCCAAATCAAAATTGGGCCAAGTCAGATGCCATCCTGCATACGTCCTAGACTACGCATCCATAAGTCTTGAGCCCTAGCTTCCGCACCATGCAGATGCAGATAGTGGAATGAAGGATCTACCTAGATACCTCAACACTGCTAAACATCTAAAACCTTTTAAAGATACAAATGGGCATAAATTTGGGGCAAGACGAAGCGTATGGACACGCAGAATGGGCAAATAAAGGGGACTGTCTTCTCCTTGCATCAAAATCGTGATATGTAATATTTATTATATCTCTATTATCATTACTTAATAGTAACCATTTCATTTTATCATTTTTTTTATTTAAGGTAGCAAGAGACATTTCTTATTTACATGATTTCTTTTTCCATTTTTTTGGGTTCAGTTCTCTCTCAAGCATAGTATGAAAACCTGGACCGGACCAACCGAGTCAACCCATAAACCAGCAACCCGGTCTTTTACTAGTTTGGATTTCCACCTAACCTAATCAATGGTTGACCCGGTGTGACTCGATTAACCTTGGGTTAACCCGATATAACCCAGCTAATTGATGGGTTGACTGGGTTAGCCAGGTTATTATTATTATTATTATTATTTGCAAAACCCCCAATTTTTTTAAAGTTTTTAAATTTTGAAATTGAATGAAGAAATAAAAAGTGAAAAATGAAATCAGAGGCAGAGCAAAGTGCATCAATACAGATATTTATCTCTTGTATTTACCTAATCAACCAATCGCTCTCGTCTCTGTCTCTTCTCATTTGCTCACCGTAAACCTTTGCTTGCCACAATCCTAATCAGATGCTATAATTCTTCTTGTCGCCAACAATGTGTAGCCTAGCTTGACAACTTAGCACGAAGTTCTTTCTCTTCTCACCTTCGCTACTAAAATCTTGTACATCCTAGTTCATGCTCGCATTCCCTTTGCATTAAGTTAGTTTTTATAGCTCGTGTCTCGTCTTCTCTTCCCTCTCCCCTTTGTATTTTTTATTTTACTTTGACTAATTGTTACTTTAAGCTTAAAAATTTGAATGAAGTTAATAATAACTTTGTTGTTAATAAATATTAATTTTAAACTTTTTAATAATTGAAGGGTTATAATTGTAATGATAGATATTTAAAACATTGTATTTTATTAATATTCGACTTCTTAGTGATTGGATTTGATTGAATATTTTTATAATCAATGTTTTTTTATTTAAATTATATTATTTTAATCATGACTAGTTTAACCCCTGGTTCAATAGTTAAACCACTAACCTGTGACCTAGTGTCATGACCGGTTCAATAACCAGTCTAATTTTACGTACCTTGCTCTCGAGCACACAAAACACATACAATGATTTTTTTTTTTTGGGCCAGCAAAACAGGTACAATGATTTGGCCAGTATGGATCAAGACATTGCTTACCATGTAAGAACCACAATGCATGGCAGGGTTTTCTCAATACATTTTCCTCTCTGTCCTGTACGAGCGATGGAAGACGAAATATGGACAGTTTATTTCCAAAGGTGAACGTTAGTACATGCATGATATGGTATCATGCCTAGATCAACCGCAAAATATAGGAGTCAACATTTGACTTCTTGAGACCTTAAATCCGGTCTAAGAATCAATGGTGTCCACAAATGGAACTAAATATAACACTGTAGGGCGTGAAAATTCTGTGTAAACAATCCTACAAAACCTGCCTGCAGAATGCAAGCCGAGAATTTCCATCTAAAGAGACTTTTGAGATGTAAATGGAGCTTATCAAAATAATTATGCTCAATAAATTGCATCATACTGTCAAAACTCATTGAGATATATGGGTTGCGTCAGTAGCTACTGGGTGCTCGCTCCTTAAGCAGGAACTGCAACCTTTTCCTGTTTCTTCTTAGCAGCTTTTGAAGGCACTTCAGCCACAATGTTTTCAGGTTTCTCAATTCCTTGAATATCAGTTATCCTTAACTTCGTCAATTCCTGAGGATGACAACACCAAGCAGATTTAACATCCATAATTTGTCAAGAAACTAATTATGAGTAAAGAGTTGCTTTTCAACAATACCTGGCGATGCCCTTTGGTTCTACGGTAGTTCTTTCTTCTCTTTTTCTTAAAAATAATCACCTTTGCATCTAATGCCTGAATCAGAGAAAAGAAGATAAGCAAGTCATCTAGCGAGTAAAGAAAAATTTGGACCCACTTAGCTCATATTTGTATATGTCATTTAGTTCCATTTCATCATGGTTTCAAGTAACAATCAGGAATGGGATGAAATTCAAGTGCAATTCAGATACCACCAACTAACAAAACAAAGATCATGAGTCTCTGTTTGAGACCCATTCCAGGCCCATTCCCATCTTTATCCATGAAAATTGATTCTGTATACCAAACTCGCCCAAATTTAATTGAAATGCAAAGTTCCACACTTACGTGCTCCTCAACAACGGCATGAACAGCTGCATCTGGCAGCATGGGTCTGCCAACAATTGTCTGACTTTGAGAGCCAAGCAAGAGGACTTTATTAAGAATTAACTGCAATATACAAAAAATGCAGGTATCACTTTTAATATCACCAACCAAATATTTAACTAAGTGACATTATAAATTCCATAATAAGGGGGGATCCCAAAGTGCTACACCTATTGATTAATAAGATTACTAAAATACTTATACACAGGTATATTAGCTATTTCAATGTTTCTACAACGAGAAGAAACAGCAGAGATAGTATGCCTATACAAAAATCATAAGAGCTACATGATTTTAAGATGTACTTCCTGGAAAAGGCTCAGACACTGATTGATTAATTTCAACAAACAGTGTCTATGTATAATATTATCATATCTATCCAAATCCTAATGTGCTAGTTTTACTTCAGCATGTTTGTGGATGTCACTTCTACAGTTCTACCCTGCACATCGATCTGACATTTTTACAATGTCTATGGCAAAGCTCTCCTCCCAATCATGAACCTTTCCATTTGGGGCAACCTCACTTTTAACCAAGTGCTCATTATTAACTCGTTAACTTCTGCTTCCAACTCACTGAAATCAAATCTATTTTCAGCAACTCCTATTAACTACATTACTTGCCTCAGTTTCAATGATAGATCCACCCTGTTCATCTCCAAGCCTCCTTCAATGAGCATCTTTTTCCATCTCCTCTTAATTACAGAAGAGTAGACTTCTTTCACAAACAAACTACCAGTGTAATGCTCACCTTGCATTAGAAAGGGGCGGTAGCCATTGACTTTCACAAGGAGTAGAAGTTGCCAGGTCAGTAGCTTTTACTTTCTAGTTACTCTAGTACCTTGGTAAGAGAAACTGCGAGAGAAAGGTAGTGCAAGTAGCATAATTGCCTTTTTCCTGTCATCATGCCACCTTCTTGGGGGGGGGGGGTAACGGACTCCATTTGCAAAGACAAATGAAACATTTTGACCAACACAGACAGACCCTATTGCTAACAAAATGACAAACAAGTATACCCAACCAAACGAACCATTGACACAAAAATAAACCTAAAATGACTTTCCTCTAAACAGTGAATCTACATTTTGGGTTAGCCCACCATAGAATCTATTCAATGTCCAAGATTGCAAGTATTTGCACAAATTCAAGAACAAGTTTAGAGTTATTTGAGTTAATACAAATTCAATTCAGCAAATCCATAAAATTATGAATACCAAATACTTAGTTTCACCAACTAATGATATCAATTAATGCTGTGGAATACATTTTTCTAAATTATAGATCATAATAAGATGTTAAGAACTAAAATAGAAACATTGATAAAGAAAAGAAGAAATAAGAAGACATTTGTTGGGAAGTTTCCAATAGTGAGAAAACATTACAAGAGATGACAAAGGAAGGAAGCAGAAGTTTAGGGCAAAAACTGGAAAATAAAGATTAAAAAATGATGTTAACGAAAAGGCAGAAGCTGATCCAGACTCAGTTTTACATATAAACTGTTCAAGAACTAATTCTCTTACAGTACATAGTTATATAGTTCTTGGAATTTGGCAGAAACATCAATCCATACGCTCTAATGTAAACTTAAGAAGTGTTCTGTAATACAACTGGACAGAGTATCACTCATAAGAAATCTTTCTTATAAAACAATTCTATAAAGAAAAAGCATCATTTGCAGCAAGAACAACATAATGTGCTGATTACCAACGTACTTGCAACGCTGAAAAGAGGAAGAGTTAACAAGGCACCAAAAGCAATATTGAAAGATCTATAACTTCTTATTTGAGTATACTGTCTGGGCACATTATGATAGTGTATTTCCTATGCTAATTGAACGGGTCTATAAAGCCTCTTAAATATGGAGGGTGGAAAATCAATAGGCAACATCATTTTAACAGTCAGATATGAGACGGAAAATTCAAAACCGTTTCAAACTACACACTGCCCCGCCACCCAAAAGGAACCAAATATCAAGAAGACCTAGCGCGGAGCCGTGCCAGCCTCATGAAACAGAAGCAATAATGTCATTCCTTGATATCAATCAGTCACACGAAGTGATTGCAGGATCTAATTAAATCAATGCAGATACTAGGTAAAATTGAAAGACTAGTCACATGTGATCCTGTTAACAGAAGTTTGATAAACAGAAACAAAAACACCATAGGATGAGTGCACTTTGCAAGTCACCAACAAACAGAAGCGCAATCTCACCAAGTGTGAGGATTTTAAATGCAAGAGCAATGTGACCTACCTTATCATTCACTTCGCAAAATTTCAGTCTTTCAGTGAAAATGCTGTCCCCGTTGCTTACTTTAAACTGGTGTGATCCAATCTGAACTCCAGTAAACAAATAGACAAGGAAACATGAATGAAATATACACATAAATAACCTCAGCTTCTTAGTCGACCACAACTAGAAAGCCAAATTTGCAAATTTGACCTGAATAACGGCGAACACCGGCTCGTATGGCTTGAAAACCTGTTCATTCTTGCCAAGAGGCCCTATCACTTTGTACCCAATAGCCGCCGCCTCTGCTTCCTTTTCTTCTGCCGTATACTCTCTTTTCCCAGTAGCCCCACTTGACTCCGGGACATTCTCGTCGTCGCTGCCCTCCTCCTCCTCCTCTTCTTCTTCATCCCCATCACCATCGTCTTCGGCTTCATTAACTTTGTTGTCATCATGATTTTGTGTACCGGAAGAATAATTGCAAAGGTGAGACCATCGCGCACACCTGGTGACGGGTCTGGTATCAATGAGGATGTCAACGAAGCTTGATGTGAGGGTGTTCTGAGGTGGGTTTGGCAAGGTGGGTGGAACTGTGAGCGACTGGAGAGATGGATTTGTAGAGAGAAATGCGGATGCCTGGCGCGTTAACGCTTGCAGACACCGCCTGTTCGCCATGTATGCGTTCGGAGCCCGTCTAGGTTTATGGGGTTTTTGATTCGGTCGTCACTTCACTATTACCGGGTCTGAGGAGTGCCGAGTGCTCAGTCTTCTTTTCGTCCTTTTTAATTTTTGCCAGATTTTTTTTTCCATCTCCAAATGGTAGCAACCCGCAAGAGCTGGGAATAATGGAATCGTAAAAGGCTAAGAGCGGATCTTTCATAATTTTATTATAAAAATAATCTTTTATCTGGTTGTATGTTTCATCCTTGTACGACCATGTTAAGATCAGTAATTTAAAAATTAAACCAAATCAAATGATCAGACCATACGATCATTTGATCGATTAAGATTTTGGTTCGATCAATAAAAAAAAATTATTTTAGGGATTGGGCCATTTTTAATTGATGGTCGAACTGGAAACTGAATCCGATTTTTAAAAATTAAACTGTTCAAAAAAACTTTTTTATTATTTATCCAATTTTTTTAATCATTTAATATTATGTTGTATCATGTGACTTATTAAGTCATGATAAACTTAAAATATTTAGTATTTTTTATAGTTAAGTAGTAATTTTATATTTATTTCTTATATTTAAATTATTATATATATATATATATATCAATTTTTTAATTTAATTATTATGTCATCGATTTAACCATTGGTCTAACTTGATTGAACCATGTGAACTATGAACCACTAACTTTTCTAATTCAATATCCAGTTTGATTTTGAAAATGTTGGTTAAAATAGTCTTCTAGCATGTTTGGTTTGCTTTCAAGGCCCATTTTTTTAATGAAAAATGATCCATTACTCAAAAAGAGATTACAAGAAGAGCAAAAGCTAACTCAATAGCTTATGAATCAAAAGTGTGGAAGTTATCAATTTTCTCATAGATTATTAGCTAAGCTGTGAGCACAAAAATTAGCTTCCCTATACATAAAATCTAGAGAAACATCACAATTACCATACAAGAACAAGTTAATTTGGTAGACAATATCACTGTAGGGATGCAAATTGCATTCCCACACTTAGAGGTGTTTAAGGTTGTACTTGTCCCAATCGGCTTGTACATACCTTGATCATGTTGGGATGGGTTTGTTCTAGCCTTAACAGACAAGACTTGAGACACCCTTTGAGATGTTTCGTCCCGTCCCATCCTGTTATTTTATACACACACACACACACTAATTATTATGTTATTTTTATTATTTATTTTTATATTTTCTATTTATCTTTACTTTATTTAATTTTGCATTGCTTTGTGATACTTCATTTGGCCAAACAAGTTGCGAGATGTTTTCTCATAATTATTGATATTGATTTGAGGAATTAAAAATACAAACCCAAATTGCTATCATTCAAGTAATCTAATAAGTTTATTTTTTTAGTCAATGCCTTGTTGTTGTTTCTCATTATAATCTAAGTTTATAATAGGCTCTAACCAAATAGCCTCAACGTGCACAAGGGCTTTTTCGTATTTAAGTAACTCATGTTTTTATATCCATCTGTTTATATATTGAAACTTAATTGATTAATCATATATATATATATAAGTATGATTTTTCATATGTGTTGGTTGAGTATTACTAGTCTTTTGAAGGTACAAGTAAGGGTGGCTAAAGCAAGTAAGGGTAGTTATTGAGAAGTTTTGATCCCTTTTTGACTCCTACTAAGATGGCACGAAACGAGACATAGGACAAAATTTGAGTCAGGGTTATTTTTTGGGACAAGACACGGGATGGGGGTGTCCTAGTTTTCATCTCGTCTTGTGAACACCCCTATCCACACCATAGTAGGAGGTTAAAGTTTTAGCGTAATTCATGAAGGCTCAAACCTTTCAAAACCCTTTATTCCAACACATGTAAAGACCATGCAAAATAGTAGCGACAAACCCTCTAATAGCATGAAGATTAAGAAAAGACTTAATCTATATGTTTCTTTTTTATTATTCTCTAAATTTAATTATGAAAACTAATGAAAGCAATCACATGTCTTGAAAATGGTAAGAATGTATTATATAGAACCTACTTTAGGTTAACAAGTCTATTAAACTTAAGTGTTTAAATCTTAGAATGAATCAATGTTTTGTTGTCTAATCTATGCTTGATCTAATTTAGGTTCGCATGTGTTTTGACTCTTCTTTTGTGTATGTTAGGATTTAGGGGATCTAATTCAAGTTTGAGTAGTAATTAAAACTTGCTTGAATTAAACTCTAAAAGTAAGGCACAACACTATATAATAATCCATGCTTGATCTAAAATAAATCCACGCATGTTTTGGGTGACAATGTAGGAAAATGTTTTGGACATGTTTCAGTTTTCTAATTCACACTTGAGTATACTTAGTATCCACGCTTGAATTGTCCATGTGTAAGCAATCCACACGTGACTCAGTATTGAATCATGCTTTAATGGGCTTCAACAATTAGAAACTTTCAAGCACAATTAGAAACTTTTAAACATAACTTAGAGAGCCTTAAATTAAACAAGCCAAATCAAGCTTGTTTCAAAAGAGAGTCAAGTGTGTTTTAGCCAACTAAGAAGTTAGGTACTTTTGTGTTCCAGTTCATAGTTGAACACACTCACATGTGATCCATGGTTCCCCCAATACTAATAATCATAGGGTGTTGTATCCTTAATCTAACTCCTCATGAATCGATAAAAACTATTTAGGTTAAAGTCTTTCAAAGAACAAGTGGGATAGTTCCAAATCAACCATAGTACAGTGGCTACCTCTCAATTTTAAGGGTCGGTGCTAAGGCAAGCTTCGAATTCTAACGATAAGCCGCCATTACCATGAGGATTTACTAATCTACTCCTCTCCCTATATGCGAACTCTCGTCTTAATAATCATACTATGAACATACTAACAAGTTGTATGCCATTCAACAACATTTATCACAGCATATCATGTTTACATCATTTTCGTAAAAACATGCTCTCACTTATTATTAATCACATAAGTATATACATGCATATTGTTCTCAATAATCTAACATAATTTCACACACATAATTCATCACATTGCTAAAAATTGTATCAATGGTTCTTCAAATACCCAAGTTCCAAACAATTCAATCTAATAAATAATTAATTAACAAACAACTATACAGACTAAATTTTTCCCTAATTACCTTAAACCATTGAGAAATTAAAGGTTTACCCCCTCAAAACACAATCCTAAAGCTTTCCTCAAGCTTGAATGGTGCTAATTTGGTTAATATATAATCCAATTACAAAGACATTCATTAATATCCCTTTTTCACAAATTTCTAACACTAACTCATCCTTCCAACTCACACAAAAATGCAATTTCCTATTTTTCATCATATCCATTGGGTTCCTTAAGTTCCTTTAGCTCACATTGTTATTAATGAGCTAACAATCCACCATTAATAGTCATTAAATGCTCCCAACAACCCTCATAAATGCAAATTTTAGATTTTAATGACATCATTAACTAAGAGGCTGTAAAACCATTATTGCTAGATTTAAATATTCTAAACAACTTCCATTATCACTTTTTTAGCCAATGGGTTTGAACCCATAACTCATATGAACAGAAAATTACCATTACAACTCAAACCCTAGCTTCCCAATTAGAGAAACTAGAGGAGAAAGGGAGGTGAAATCTTAATACACTTACCTTGGGTGGTTAAAAGCTCTAAAATACTCTCAAAGATCTAAATCCTCGAGCCCTAGCAAAAAATCTTGGGTTTTTTGTTTTCTCCTTCCTTTCCTTCTTGATTTTTTGTCTGATTTGTGTGCTTTATATCAGACTATTTGATCATGCGTCATAGTGCATGGACCATCTGCATTGACGCATGGCATAAAGAGGCCTTACCTCCGTGTATGTCATATGTGCACTGCAGTGGACACACTGCATGCCGTGGCATGTGGCATAGAGATATTTCCTTCATATCTTCTCACTTTTTGACATCTCAGGTGGCCCAACTTCACTACAGGCTTGAATGTAGGGTTCAAATCACAATCAAACACACTTATTAAACCTCTCTAATCACACACTATAAAGTCATCCCTAACATTACTAAACACACAGAACACAAGACACAAAACACCGTTTTGATAACCAAAATTAATCAAATCTATAAGTAGTTATCATAACACAAGGATTATGAAAAAGTTAAAGAAATCAAGATCCTAAGAAAAACCCTTTGAAACTATTTGAGCTCAAACTATAGTTTAAAATAAAGTATGTGAGATAACAGAAGCAATAAGAACAAATAACACCTAAAATAAACCCAAAAAGAGGCAATTTTATCTCCCCTATAATTGCTCCATCCGTCACGGTAGATAGCATAGAGAGCTAAGGCTTTTGCTGAGCATTATGCCGTGAAACTTTCAAAGTGCGTTAATTCACTGTCCAACACCCAATCCAAGCGATTCAAATGTCCATATGTAGCTCTTAGAGCCACCTAGCTTTGGTCTCACAACCAAATATTAAACCAATTAAAAGTTAGACACCCTGATACAAAATGGTACCTTTTCTCTCTAAAACAACAACTAAGTTGTCCAAACTTACATATTAAGTATCAATATCAGTAAAACTACTTGAACTAACTCAAATGGACCACAAACAACATAATTACATAGTTAAATCATAACTATAACATCCCACACAAGATTTAGCCAGGAAAACCCCTAAATACAACATAATTTCAAGGGGTAATAACAATTTATAGTAAACCTTTCCAGGCCTTACAATCACATAATTAATCATCAACACAACACTTACATTAGTATCTCGACCTCTCACAACCATTTTATCACAATTACAACATCCAAGTTGAGATACCTATAGACTACAACAATATTCATGCAAGTCCCCATAAAATGATATATGATCCTAAGTTGGCATAAACATAAATAATTCATTACAAAACCAAAAGAGATAGAAATGACTATACAAACACAAGTCCTCTTAATGCCCAATAGCAACTTGAAATATGTAACCATGAGGTAAATTGAGAGCTCAATAACTAAAATGTTTAATCAAACTACTCGCGTGTAGGAATAGATAGTGAATATGTGAAGTGGCATATAAAATACATAACAAGTTATATACACATATATATATGGCTAAAAATTATATGCATAATCAATACATTGCCTTATACCT